CCTTAAGTAATCTGCCCACTTTGACCTCCCAAAGTGCTGAGATTACACAAGTGAGCCACCTTACCTGGCTGAAATGCATAAATTTTAAAAATGCTTATTGTAGACTGGGTGTGGTGGTTCACGCCTGTCCTAGCTCTTTAGGAGGCTGATATGGTAGGGGGAATCACCTGAGGTCAAGAGTTTGAGACCAGCCTGGCCAATATGGCAAAGCCCTGTCTCTATTAAAAATACAAAAATTAGCCGGGCATGGTGGCGGGCACCTGTAATCCCGGCTCTGGAGGCTGAGGCAAAATAACTGCTTGAACCTGGGAGATGGAGGTTGCATCGAGCCAAGATAGTGCCATTGCACTCCAGCCTCTGACATGGTGATTCTCTGTCTCAAAAAAAAAAAAAAAAAAGGCAGGGCACAGTGGCTTACACTGTAATCTCATCACTTTGGGAGGCCGAGGCAGGAAGATCACCTGAGATCAGGCATTCAAGACCAGCCTGGCCAATATGGCGAACCTCCTCCCCCGACATCCCTAACCAAAATCCAAAAATTAGCTGGGTGTGGTGGTGGGCACCTGCACCTGTAATCCCAGCTCTGAAGGCTCTAGCAGGAGAATTGCTTGAACCCTGGAGGCAGAGCTTGCAGTGAGCTGAGACTGTACCACTGCATTCCAGCCTGGTTACAAGAGCTAAACCCCATCTCAAAAAAAAAATGCTTATTGCAAAGAAGTTGTTCAACTATAGAGTCTTAGCTGTCCTTTGGAGGTTTTAAAAGTAGGGGCTGGGCACGGTGGCTCATGCCTGTAATCCTAGCACTTTGGGAGGCGGAGGTGGGTGGATCACCTGAGGTCAGGAGTTCAAGACCAGCCTGGCCATCATGGTGAAACCCCACCTTAAAAAAAAAAGTAGAATAAATTCTTTTTTTTTCTTTTTATTCTTACATTAGTAGTAGCTTTGCCTTAGGACTACAGATTCAATAAATGACTTTTCTAGGACTTCCCTTTCCCTGTTCACTAGAGCCAATAACAGGCTGAGGAAGAATCTAGAATAAAATAACTGTAGGTATTTAATCTGAGTCCTACATCTTGTGGTTTGGGGTAAATTATTTCAAGTCTCAGGACTTTATTTTCCACAATTCCACAATAAATAGCTTTGTAAAAATTCATTTATAAAACTTCTACATGTTACTGGATGGAAAGTAAAAAAAAACAAACTTCTACCAAGGAAGTATTGCAGTAGAAAACATTTTGTTTTAAATTGCTACATAAGCACAAGATATTCCCACATCATTAGTAATAACATGTAACATATAACTGAATACAAATAAATACTTTAGCATTTTCAGCAAAGAAAACAAGGAGTTAGGCTGAAAAGAAAATAAGGTTGAGTTTTATCTGAATTTTCTCTTTACTAATGTTTTGTGAACATGCTATATGATAATTTAAAGCCCAAGTTTCCCTAAACTGCAGTAGGTATGCACCACTTATTTCCCTAAAGCATTGACAATTCCAACAAAAGCCCCACCTGTAAATATTTATCTGATGTACTGGTGATTCTTCTGTCAAGATGTTTTCTCCTTTGCTCAGATTTGCAGAGCTCACATGAACCCCACAAACCTTGATTCACACATCACAGAATGTTAGGGCTGGAAGGGCCTTACAGAGGATCCTGTCCAATCTCCTCATACTGCACATTCAAAACCTGGATCCTGAGGAGGGGAAATGTCCATCCAAAGTTATATATTACTGGACAGGATAGCTCACGCCTGTGATTCCAGCACTTTGGGAGGCTGAGGAGGGTGGATCACGAGGTCAGGAGTTCAAGACCAGCCTGGCCAACATGGTGAAACTCTGTCTCTACTAAAAATACAAAAAATTAGCCAAGTGTGGTGGCGGATGCCTCTAATCCCAGCTACTCAGGAGGCTGAGGGAAGAGAAACACTTGATCCTGGGAGGTGGAGGTTGCAGTGAGCCGAGACCAAGCTACTGCACTCCAGCTTGGGCAACAGAGTGAGACCCCCATCTCAAAAAAAAAAAAAAAAAAAAATAGCCAGGTATAGTGGCACACACATGTAGTCCCAGCTACTTGGGAGGCTGAGGCAAGAGGATTGCTTGAACCCAGGAAGTCAAGGCTGCACCACTGCACTCCAGCCTGGGTGACAGAGTGAGACCCTGTCGCAAAAAAAAAAAAAAATAATAAAGGCTGATCACTGAACCATGTCTTCTGTCACCTTATTAATAATTTAGCATAGGCCAGGCGTAGTGGCTCATGCCTGTAATCCCAGCACTTTGGGAGGCTTTACCAGGTGAATCATCTGAGGTCAGGAGTTTGAGACCAGCCTGACCAACATGGTGAAACCCTGTCTCTACTACAAATACAATAATTAGCTGGGTATGGTGGCACATGCCCGTAATCCCAGCTACTTGGGAGGCTGAGACAGCAGAATCTCTTGAACCTGGGATGCAGAGGTGAGCCAATATTGCGCCATTGCATTCCAGCCTGGGCAACAGAGCTCAACTCCATCTCAAAATGATGATAATGATAATAATAATTTAGTATATTTTTGGTGAATCTGGAAACTGTCAACTAAAAAGCAAGATCAGTTTCTGTCTCTTCTTCCACAGTAATTTTTAGACTCATAAAGATGTTTACTTAAAGGTTAAATGTTTAACTGTCTACCCAGGAAAGATTTTTCTCCAAAAAATTTCAGCAGAGGACAGCAAATATAAATATGGATCCCAAATGCTTAAAATTAATTTAAAGTGTAAGAGAATTACTTTTTTTTTTTTTTTTCCCTGAGATGGAGTCTGTCGCCCAGGCTGGAGTGCAGTGGCATGATCTCTACTCACTGCAACCTCCACCTCCCAGGTTCAAGCAACTCTGCCTCAGCCTCTTGAGTAGCTGGGATTACAGGTGTGTGCTACCCTGCTCAGCTAATTTTCATATTTTTTGGTAGAAATGGGGTTTCACCATGTTGGCCAGGCTGGTCTCAAACTCCTGACTTCACGTGATCCGCCCGCCTTGGCCTCCCAAAGAGCTGGGATTGGGATTACAGGGGTGAGCCACCACGCCCAGCCTGTTCATTATTTTTCTTCACTATCTCACTCTAGCATATACTCTCCATGAGGCAGAGAGCCAGTTTTGCTTACAAACATATTCCTTAAGCACCTCGGATACTGTGCTAAATATATCTGGGGAATGAATGAAAAAGTTGAAAAGCTCTACTAAGACTAAAATCTCTACACATATGTTCCACAAGGGCCATTTTGTTTGTGTGAGTTGGAGTATATCTTGAGTTCTGCCTATTTTGTATCCAAAACTCATTTGTACTTTAATTTTGCCTTTCCTACTTCAGAAACAAGCTCTGTTATCCTATTCTGTAGAAAATTCACCTTCTCTTTCTTTTTTTTTCTTTTTTTTTTTTTTTTTGAGACAGCCTCTAGCTGGGCATGGTGGCCAGAGCCTGTAATCCTAGCACTTTGGGAGGCCAAGGTAGGAGGATCACTTGAAGTCAGGAGTTTGAGGCCAGCCTAGCCAACATGGTGAAACCCATCTCTACCAAAAAATATGAAAACTAGCCGAGCATGAGGAAGGAGAATCGCTTGAACCTGTGTGGTAGAGGTTGCAGTGAGCTGAAATCGCGCCATTACACTCCAGCCTGGGCAACAAGAGCGAAACTCCGTCTCAAAAAAATAAAAAGAAAAGAAAAGAAAGAAGAGACAATTTCTCTCCGTTGTCCAGGCTAGAGTGCAGTGGCCTGATCTCCGCTCACTGCAACCTCAACCTCCCGGGTTCAAGCTATTTTCCTGCTTCAGCCTCCCTAGTAGCTGGGATTACAGGCACGGGCCACGACGCCCAGCTAATTTTGTATTTTTAGTAAAGACGGAGTTTTGCCATGTTGGCCAGGCTGGTCTCGAACTCCTGACCTCAAGTGATCTGCCTGCTTCGGCCTCCCAAAGAGTTCGGGTTACAGGCGTGTTACTGTGCCCGGCCAGAAAATTCACTTTTGTTCCCTCAATATTTCCATAAACTCTGTATCTCCCAGAGATGGTCAAGGAATTCATGAGCTAAGATAACATGATAAAGTTGCAGAGAAATAAAAACAACAGAAATAAAGTAAAGGGCGCTTCTGAGAAACCTTGGCTGAGATGGTCAGAGGCACATTTACTACGAAGCAGCACAAGTTGGCGTTGAAGGGTTTAATTCCTCGAGCCCTACTTTCCTCATCTGTAAAATGGGGATAATAACTCACAGGGCTTGTCATACGGATGAAATGTGATCATGTGTATGAAAAGCCAACTACTCTGCATAGTTAGCAATAAAAAAATAGAAGGTATTCATTATCCTAATGAACTGAAAAAACTGCTTTTGCACCTTACCGGGAGGAGATTAGGTTAGGAGCCAAAGGCTCATTTAGAGAAGGTAAGGAAAAGCAGCCAGAAAGGTGGAAATCGAGTTTAAGGCGCGTTCCTGGTGAATCAGACCCGGAGTGGGAAGCAAGCCCCCTCTCTGAATAGCCCTCAGCGGCGAGGGGAGCGGGTTCCCGCGGGCCCAGCCAGAGTGCCCGGCAGTCAGGACTCAGAGGCGGAACCCGCAGCCCGGCCCTGGAGTCGACGCCTTCCAGGCGGCGTAGGGAGCGCAGCCCCGAGGACCCGAGGCCAGGCAGGGGCGCGGGGGCGGAGCGGGGAAGGACGGGCTTGGCTACTGGGCGCGGCCTTCCTCTTACCTGGCGCTTCCCCTCGCTGGGGTTTTGCTAACCTGACGCCTCCGCGCCCACTGGGGACCGCGCAGACGCCTCGCCTGCACCCTGCTCCCAGTGGCAGCCTCCACCCCAGCCCCGGCCCATTCTCCAGCCCCGGATCCCTTTTCTCCCTCCCCTTCCTTGCTTCCGGCTCCTTCTGTAGAGTTTGGTTTTTTGGTTGTTGGTTTTTTTTTTTTCCAGAGTTTGGTTTGAACTTTTGAATCCGCCAATCAGCGCCGCGCGCCCACCCTCCGTGGGTGCGGCCGGGGGCGGGGTCCGGGGCCAGCCCTCCCGACACGTAGCTGGAGGTTGGGTATATAGGGCCCCTTCGGGCTGACCACTGTTTCACTATTTCTCCCCCGGACTCCTTGATAGTCTGTTAGTGGGAGATCCTGTCTTCCTCCATTCGCCTCCTTCAGCGCCGCAGACCCCTTTAAGTTCCAGTCATGGTGAGTGGGGTCCCTCGCGGGTGGGCAAGAGTGCGCGTTCCAGGGGGCGGCGGGTCCCGGAATTACTGCCTGCACCTCAGGCCGCGGCCCAGGACGGCTCCCGACGGCTCCGGGTGCCTCCGGTTAACCTGGCTTTTGCTGGCAGGGCTTAGAAGGTCGAGTTCACCCGGCAGATACCAGTTCGGGCCCGGAGACCTGGCCCGGGCGCGGCCCTCGGTGGAAATCAAAGCCCTCTTGATCCTAGTGAGAGTTTCCCCCGAAGGGCTCGCTACTGTCCTAGGGAGGGAGGTCAGAGAGCCTGCCTGCTCATGGCCTCCAAGAACTTAAACTAAAAGTCCCTCCCCACGTTTTCCCAAGTGACCTCACCTTCTCACTGCGTGCGCTCCCGCATCGACGGTGCAGCACTTCCTGGCGCCCCCTCTCCAGCGCCCAGTGACTCGCTGCTGAGTCACCTGTGGCCCGGCCCTGGGGAGAGCTTCCAGCTGCGCCAGTCCACCTGAGGATGGAAGCGGGCCCCTCCTTGGAAGGGAATAATTAACTTTCACGTTGCCTAATCTTGCATTTCTGGTGTTAATCTAGTGGTAGGTTTACAGCTGAAGCTTTCTACTTAAGCCGGGTTTTAAAACACGTCTACAAAAGGATTTTTTCTTATAAAACCAGAGTTGGCCGGGCGCGGTGGCTCAAGCCTGTAATCCCAACACTTTGGGAGGCCGAAGCCGGCGGATCACCTGAGGCCAGGAGTTTGAGACCAGCCTGGCAACATAGTGAAACACCGTCTGTACTTAAAAAAAAAAAAAAGCGGGGGGCGGGGGTCGTGGTGGCGCGCCTGTAATCCCAGCTACTTGCGAGTCTGAGGCAGAAGAATCGCTTGAACCCAGGAGGGGGAGGTTCCGCTGAGCCAAGATCGAGACACTGCACTCGATCCTGGGTTACAGACCAAATTCCGTCTCAAAAAAAAAAAAAAAAAAAAAACCCAAACCAGAGTAACCTGTACTCAGCATGTGTTCTTAGTTCAGTTTTCAAGAAAAGTGAAGTTATACATAAGTTGAGTGTTTTCTATAAAGCTTCCAGAAGTCTTGAAAACAACTATCTTTGGCCGGGCGTGTTGACCCATGTTTGTAATTTCAGCACTGTGGGAGGCAGAGGCGGGAGGAACGCTTGAGATCAGGAGGTCGAGACCACCCTGGGCAACATGCTGAAACTGTCTATACAAAAATTAGCTGGGCACCTATAGTCCCAGCTACTCGGGAGGCAGGGGTGGGAGGATATTCTGATCCCAGCATGTGGAAGCTGCAGTGAGCCAAGATCACACCACTACACTCCTGTGAAACCCTATCTCAAAATAAGTCATATGTAAATACTTGTATATGTATCACTGTAACAACCTGAGAGCTTTTCACCAAGCAGTACCAAAAAGATACTGAAAATTGTGATTCACAAAGTAGTGGGATCCTTTAAAAAGCAGGAGAGGCCGGGCGTGGTGGCCCACGCCTATAATCCAAGCACTTTGGAGGCCAAGACGGGCGGATCACCTGAGGCTGGGAGTTTGAGACCAGCCTGGCAACATGGTGAAACCCCGTGTTAAAAAATAAATGAATAAGCAGGAGAGCAGCAGCAGACTGGTTTAGGCGATCACTGGTTAATTTTAGAGGTAGGAGCTGCTTATCCAGTGAACGCTAGACCAGTTGACTCCACCTGTGCCTCAGTTTATCTCCCATGTGGCCAGGGGAGCATGGAGGGTAAGGCAGTGGCCACTGACATTGCTTGCTAAGCTTCAAGAAGGCAGTTTAGACTGAGCAATGAAAGAAAAAACTGTGGGCCCAAAATAGAAGCATTTAAACAGAAGCATTTTGTTAGAATGAGTGGATCTTCTCAGATACTTTATCTCCTTGGGCGGGGGGGCCATCATGATCAGATATCTGGTTATCTCCAGCTTTTGGGGCTTTGGGGTTTCCACAGTCCAGTTAAAGGTAAACATGATGCCTGGTGCAGTGGCTCAGGCTGGTCTTGAACTCCTAACCTCAGGTGATCCACCCACCATGGCCTCCCAAACTGCTGGTATGCCAGGTGTGGTGGTGGGCACGTGTAATCCCAGCTACTTGGGAGGCTGAGGCAGGAGAGTCACTTGAACCTGGGAGGCAGAGGTTTCAGTGAGCTGAGATTGTGCCACTGCACTCCAGCCTAGGTGACAGAGCAAGACTCCATCTCAAAATAAATAAATAAATAAATAAACATGCAATGGTAAGTAGTCATGGGCTCATTAAGACAAACTACTCCTATTCTCCCACAGCCTTGGAGCTGGGCAAGTAGACACAGATGATACTGAGCTTGCTGATGTGGTCAGGAGACGTGTTTCGTGGAGAGAGTAGGTGGGAAGGAGGTGATCATAAGTCAAAGGTTGTGAAATTAGGGTTTTTATTATCTCTTGGGTTATGGGACTAGGCCCTTTGAAAACTTAGTGTTCTGCCAGTCTCCAAAGTGGCTGATCTGACTTAGGATGAAATACCAAACACCCTTTTTGTTTTTCTGTTAAGTCTGTGCATACAGATTCTATGTTTAATTGCCTTATTTTACTAAGCAGGTGTGGGTTTGGTAACTTCTAACCATGTTCTTGAAATAAAGGAGAATATTTCCTCATGTTCTGCTTTGGCCCCTCTGGCCCCTCTAAATTAACTTGGCCCATACCATAAAATATATATATAGAGAGAGAGACAGAGTCTTGTCTCATTTGCCCGGGCTGGAGTGCTGTGGCACACAATCTCTGCAACCTCCGCCTCCTGGGTTCAGGTGATTCTCATGCTTCAACTTCCCAAGTAGCTGGGACAACAAGTGCATGACACCACACCTGGCGAATTCTCATATTTTTAGTAGAGACAGGATTTCACCATGTTTTGGCCAGGCTGGTCTTGAACTCCTAACCTCAGGTCATCTGCACACCTCAGCCTCCCAAAGTGCTGGGATTACAGGCATGAGCCACCGTGCCCAGTCATAATTTTTTTTTTTTTCATATTTTTAGTAGACAGTTTCATCATGTTGGCCAGGCTGGTTTCAAACTCCTGACCTCAACTGATCTGCTCACCTTGGACTCCCAAAGTTCTGGGATTGTGGATGAGCCAGCACTCCACCAGACACAACTAATTTACTGATAAGTAAAGTCTTGATAACACTTCTAACCTTATAGTACTATCTTTGCTCTCTCAGAGATGTTTTGATGGTGAAGGAAAAATGTTCTTCCTAAAGATTAGATTCTTTCACATGGTTAGAAAGCTGCCTCTGACCAGAGTTTTTAAAATACAGCTAACTGCTGCTTATCCAGCACTTTCTCCATGAGTCATATGGCTGTGGTTTGCTGGTTTAAGCTGGTTTTAAAGGAGAAAGGGAGAAGCTTTTGTTTCCTAAAGAATAGGATTAAAGCAGGACCAAAATGAGCTCAGTAGTTACACAATCATTCAGAGAATGAATCAGAGCTGGAATGGGGAATTTTGCCTTAGTTTAAGGAATTGTATCTACTGTGGCTACAAAGCAACCGTCTGGTCTTGCCTAGTAGTTCATGAACACCTCTTTGGTTTTCCAAGGCATTTTTGCTGAATTAGGTCTTCAGAGACTTTTGCTTTTGAAATTACAGTCCCTGAACAGGAGTGGCCTGCTGAAAAGTAGATATCTGTCTTTTGTTTTGTTTTGAGATGGGATCTCACTCTGTCAGTCAGGAGTGCAATGGTATGATCTCAGCTCACTGCGCCTCCAACTCCTGGGTTCAAGCGATTCTCCTGCTTCAGCCTCCTGAGTAGCTGGGACTACAGGTGTGCACCACCATGCCCCACTAATTTTTGTTTTTATTATTTTTAGTAGAGATGGGGTTTAGCCATGTTAGCCAGGCTGGTCTCAAACTCCCAACCTCAGGTGATCCACCTGCCTCACTCAGCCTCCCAAAGTGCTGGGATTATAGGTGTGAGCTACCATGCCCAGCCAGTTATCTGTCTTAAAGGTTAATTATTCATTAGGTGTGAATCATTCCTAAATGTCTCATCTGATATATCATATCCTGACATTTTCCTTTCTTCCTCTCACAGCGTGAGTGCATCTCCATCCACGTTGGCCAGGCTGGTGTCCAGATTGGCAATGCCTGCTGGGAGCTCTACTGCCTGGAACATGGCATCCAGCCCGATGGCCAGATGCCAAGTGACAAGACCATTGGGGGAGGAGATGACTCCTTCAACACCTTCTTCAGTGAGACGGGTGCTGGCAAGCACGTGCCCCGGGCAGTGTTTGTAGACCTGGAACCCACGGTCATTGGTGAGTTGGCCTCGGTAACCCAAGTGAGATCCCAGGGTGCTGGGACAGGAGGTCTGTCCTGGGGGCTCTGCTGGTCACTCGCTCACTCACCCAGTCCCTCTGTCCTTCTCTCCAGATGAAGTTCGCACTGGCACCTACCGCCAGCTCTTCCACCCTGAGCAGCTCATCACAGGCAAGGAAGATGCTGCCAATAACTATGCCCGAGGGCACTACACCATCGGCAAGGAGATCATTGACCTCGTGTTGGACCGAATTCGCAAGCTGGTAAATATAGTACTTTAAAATGGGGCGAGAGTTATTCTTGCAGTTCTGAGACCAAACTACAAGAAAATCATTCTTTGCAACTAAAATGCAACTTCTTGCCAAACTAATTGGATTTCTGAACCAGATGGTCCTGGGTTTTTGGGACAACGATGGGGTAGGGAGTGAGTGCTCTTTAGCCTGTTTAGCTTTAAGCTACTGAGTAGGTGGCTAACTCCTACTTGTAACGAATTGATCAGTCATTTTTTAAAATCTGGGCTGGTTCCTTCATGTTAATAAAGTTTAGAGAACAAGAAGGCCGATGTCACACTGACTGGAAACTTCCAGTTCAGCTGAAAGTGGAGTCAGGAGCCTCCTTATGCAGTTGGATCATGTTAACTAAGAGCCTGGCAATCAGATGACTCTTGCTCCTTAGGCATGTGGGCAGCTTGTAAGTAATTAACCAGAGATCAAGCCTGGGCAGAGTAACTTGTCAAGAAAATCACATTTTACTAAAAACCCAGCCACAACTGGTCCATTCTAAAAAAGAATGGCCTCATCATTCATGGCTTCATACTTTCCTCAGATGTTTACTTAGTCTTCCCAGCAAAACTGGACTGATGTTTCCTATGCTTAGAAACTAAGCTGTAGTTATAAGCACTGACCTGGAAATCAGGACCTGCCTTTAGGGACAAATAAACTTAGTAGCTATTTAGGATTCTGGAGTGAAGTTCATTGCCTACCAAGACAATTGCATTTGTCCTTGGCCTTACTGTGTTTACAGGAGGCTTAAAGGGTGTAATTGGTAGGCGAGGGTCTGCCTTGTGCATTGATCTCATGTAGTTTATGGACCCACAAATCTGAGGCTCATTACTTGGAGAAGCAAGAGTTGACTACAGAATACTTTATTTGAAAGGTCAAACTTACCCCTTCATAAAGTAGCAGTTTGCCGGCCAAAATAGCCCAGTTAGGTGGAAGAAATCGCCAACAATCTGAGGTCTCATGGAATTGTGGTTGTGTCACTTGACCCACAACGAATAGGCTTCTTGGTGCCTAGTATCATATAGTGGGTACTTAAACTGTGCCAAGCACTAACTACTATTCTTATTTAATCAATGGGAGAACTGAGAAATGAATGTGATCCTACAGTAAGGAACTGGTACAGCTGGATCCAGACCCAGCCCTGATTCCAGTTCCAGCGTGTTAGAAATTGGCTATTCTGTTGTTCCACCTCCGAGAGCAGCTGCCAGATCTTTATAAAGCATCCCCTGGACTGGGCTGGTGGTCCTGGGCCTGTCCCTTGGGAGCTCTTCAGCTGATAAGAAGCTGCCCGGTTCTGTGGCCACAGCAAGGGAACCAGAAGCCGCTCTCATAGTTACCAAAGCTTGAGGCCTATATACAAGCCCAGACCTTGTGATTCTTCTGCCTGAGGAAATAGTTCATCTTAAAATAGTCTTTTTAGCAGAGGCTTTCCCCTCAAGGACTTGACTGTGAATATTTGCTCTGAATCACTTAGCGTTTTTTGAGACAGGGTCTGCTCTGTCATCCAGACTGGAGTGCCGTGGCATGGTCATCAGTCTTGAACCCCTGGGCTTAAATGGTCCTCCCACCTTGGACTCCCAAAGTGTAATTACAGGCGTGAGCCACTGTGCCTGGCCCAGAAGAGTTTTAAAATTACAATTGGTGTAGCCATGGATTTATAGAAGTCCTCTGCAGGTTTCACCAAATGTCTTGCAACACTAAAATGAAATCTTTATTTTGCAGGCTGACCAGTGCACCGGTCTCCAGGGCTTCTTGGTTTTCCACAGCTTTGGTGGGGGAACTGGTTCTGGGTTCACCTCCCTGCTCATGGAACGGCTCTCAGTTGATTATGGCAAGAAGTCCAAGCTGGAGTTCTCCATCTACCCGGCGCCCCAGGTTTCCACAGCTGTAGTTGAGCCCTACAACTCCATCCTCACCACCCACACCACCCTGGAGCACTCTGATTGTGCCTTCATGGTAGACAATGAGGCCATCTATGACATCTGTCGTAGAAACCTCGATATTGAGCGCCCAACCTACACTAACCTTAACCGCCTTATTAGCCAGATCGTGTCCTCCATCACTGCTTCCCTGAGATTTGATGGAGCCCTGAATGTTGACCTGACAGAATTCCAGACCAACCTGGTGCCCTATCCTCGCATCCACTTCCCTCTGGCCACATATGCCCCTGTCATCTCTGCTGAGAAAGCCTACCATGAACAGCTTACTGTAGCAGAGATCACCAATGCTTGCTTTGAGCCAGCCAACCAAATGGTGAAATGTGACCCTCGCCATGGTAAATACATGGCTTGCTGCCTGTTGTACCGTGGTGATGTGGTTCCCAAAGATGTCAATGCTGCCATCGCCACCATCAAGACCAAGCGTACCATCCAGTTTGTGGATTGGTGCCCCACTGGCTTCAAGGTTGGCATCAACTACCAGCCTCCCACTGTGGTGCCTGGTGGAGACCTGGCCAAGGTACAGAGAGCTGTGTGCATGCTGAGCAACACCACAGCTGTTGCCGAGGCCTGGGCTCGCCTGGACCACAAGTTTGACCTGATGTATGCCAAGCGTGCCTTTGTTCACTGGTACGTGGGTGAGGGGATGGAGGAAGGAGAGTTTTCAGAGGCCCGTGAGGACATGGCTGCCCTTGAGAAGGATTATGAGGAGGTTGGAGCAGATAGTGCTGAGGGAGAGGATGAGGGTGAAGAGTATTAACTTGTATGCTGTATTTTGTACTCCATTGTCTTAGAATCGTTTTATTTTTGTTCTGTGGACCTGTCCATTATGGCCCTTAATTGTTAATAAAAGTGATGTTTTCATTTTTAAGTGTCCAGTTGACTTCTGTATCACAGTAAGTACTTGATCCACTTAAGACCAATTAGATTTACAGGGCTGGTAGATGAACCATCTGAGTTTAGAAGGGTCTTGCTCCGTCACCCAGGCTAGAGTGCAATGGCATGATCATAGCTCATTGCAGCCTCTACCTCCTGGGCTCATGTGATTCTCCTGCTTAAGCCTCCTGAGTAGCTGGGGACTGCAGGTGCATACCACCATGCTCCGCTATTTTCATTTCTTGTAGAGTTGGGGTCTTGTTATGCTGCCCAGGCTGGTCTTGAACTGACTTCAAGTGATCCTCTTGCCTCGACCTCTCAAAAGTTTTGATTATAGGCATGAGCCACTACCCGGCTTATTGGTTTGTCTGTTTAATTTGGGCCAGAATTGAGTGGTTATAAAATCATTTTGTAAGTGAGGAAATGTTCAGATTGAGCCAGTGTATCTCTAAAATAGATGAATCACCTGTAGATACTAAAATACAGGTTTGGGCCCCACCTGGTGGCTCATGCCTATAATCAATCCCACCCCAGCACTTTGAGAGGCTAAGTCAGGTGGATCACTTGAGCCTAGGACTTTAGACCAGCCTGGGCAACATGGTAAAACCCCATCTCTACAAAAACAAGATTTTGTGTGGTGTGATGGCACGTGCCTATGCTCCCAGCTACTTGGGAAGCTGAGGTGAGAGGATCACCTGAGCCCAAGGAGGTTGAGGCTACAGTGAGCCATGATTGCACCACTGCACTCCAAGCTGGGTGACAGAGGGAGACCTGGGTGACCCCCTGCTCCCAAATTCAAAAAATGTGGCCGGGCATGGTGGCTCATGTCTGTAATTTTAGCATTCTGGGAGGCTGAGGTGGGTGGATCACCTGAGTTTGGGAGTTCGAGACTAGTCTGACCAACATGGAGAAATCCTGTCTACTAAAAATACAAAATTAGCTGAGCGTGGCAGTGCATGCCTGTAATCCCAGCTGCTCGAGAGGCTGAGGCAGGAGAATTGCTTGAACCTGGGAGGTGGAGCTTGCGGTGAGCCAAGATTGTGCCATTGCACTCCAGCCTGGGCAACAAGAGCAAAACTCCAACTCAAAAAAACACCTTAAATAGTAAAACAAAATGCAGGTTCTAATTCTGTAGGTCTGAGGTGAGGCCTCAGGTACATTTTTTTTTTCCTTCGAGATGATCTCTGTTGCCCAGGCTGCAGTGCAATGGCACTATCATAGCTCACCACCATCTTGACCTGGGCTCAAGCCATCCTCCTACCTCAGCCTCCCAAGTAGCTGGGACTACAGGTGTGTGCCACCATGCCTGGATGATTCTTGTAATATTTTTTGGTGGAGATGGGGTTTTGCCATATTGCTTAGGCTGGTCTTGAACTCCTGTGCTCAGGCAATCCTGCCTCCGCGTTTTCAAAGTGCTGGGATTACAGGAATGAGCCACCATACCTGGTCCCTAGATACGTTTTTTAATAATCTCCCAAATGCTGGTCTGATGTGACCACATGTACAGCAGCAAAGGGTCAGATAATAGTAAACGCTGGAGCCAAAATTCAAGCATCCAGCCACACCACCAGGACTATTGCTGTCAGTCTTGTTTTTTTTCCCCACAGTGTAGTTTCACCCTTGTTGCCCAGGCTAGTGCAGTGGCACAATAGCTCACAACCTCCACCCCCCAGGTTCAAGTGATTCTCCTGCCTCAGGGCTCCCGAGTACCTGAGATTACAGGTGCCCACCACCATGCCCAGCTAACTTTTTTAATTTTTGGTAGAGATGGGATTTCATCATGTTGGCCAGATTGGTCTCGAACATCTGACCTCAAGTGACCCACCTGCCTTGCCATCCAAAGTACAGGCGTGAGCCATCGCACCTGGCCTGATCTCAGTCTTTAATATCGAATTAGTCACATGAGAAGGGCTTGGAATCCTGCTGGTTTATTCCATACTTAGCTAAAACCTACAATGGAAAAGATGGTTTGTACTAAAGGGGTTATTGCTTGGAGCAAGTGGAGCTGTCAGACAAAACAGTAGTCACCGGTTTTTCTCATATTGGTATTTGACCCAATTGTATGTAACGGAGATTAAGTAGGAACAATATGTATGTGTAGGAAAGATTGGAGAGGGGTGAGTTCTCTGATTTGGACTTTTTTTCAGGCACCTGTTGGAGGACTCTGGTTCTTAGAGGCAGAGAGGTGAAGGGGCATGAGTGTTACATGTCGCTGGAGAGCTTGGTGCCTGGTATTCAGTTGAACTGAGCAATGGGAAAAGGCAATGACCAAAAGGTCTGGCTTCATGCCGAAGGGAGGAATCCATTTTGGTGCTTGGGTGCTTGCCTGAGTGGGAATGCCTAATGAGTGGCAACAGATGGGCCCCAGGAAAGAGTTGGGCCCCTAGGCAGACGGGCCCCTAGGGGACAGAGTGAGACCCTGTCTCAAAAAAAAAAGCTTTTTAAATATGTATATTGTATCTCCATACATAGCATAGCATGCTTTTGCAGCCTGAGATGCCTCAACTATGTGCTCGGGGTGGTTTTATATAACATTTGTCGAGAGCAACCATGGGTTTGTTGTGTTGTGTTTTTTGAGATAGAGTCTCACTCTGTCACCCAGGCTCTAGTGCAGTGGCATGATCTTGGTTCACTGCAGCCTCCGCCTCCCAGGTTCAAGCGATTCTATTGCCTCAGCCTCCTGAGTAGCTGGGACTACAGGTGCACGCCACAATGCCTGGCTAATTTTTGTATTTTTAGTAGAGACGGGGTTTCACCATGTTGGCCAGGATGGTCTCGATCTCCTGACCTCATGATCCACCTGCCTTGGCCTCCCAAAGTGCTGGGATTACAGGCATGAGCCACTGCACCTGGCCGCAACCATGGTTTTATGTGGGCAAGGTAAGACTCCAGCACAAATTCAGCCACTGCTACTTCTCAGATGAGCCAGGTTCTTCCTGCAGCCTGGGCAGGAGAACAGGGTAGGATTCATGGAATGAAGGTGAACCTTGAAGAGGCCAGCCAGCCTCCCAGAGGGGATTTCGAGACCTTCCCAGTTCAGGAGATCTGCCGATTGCCATAGTGCTAGCACTGGAGGAAGTGGGATGTCAACGTATGGAAAGGAGCAGATAAATCACAAAGTTTAGGCGAGTGTGACACCCCACGATACCAGCATTTTCCAAGTAGGGTGCCCTTAGAATCAGATTCAAGGTGCCCATATAGGATCCTTTCTGCTTTTAGAACAACATGGCCTAGAGAGCCTGACCCACCCATCCTCCCTGGGGCCAGTCAACCCTGGCCGGGAGCAGCCTCCTCCATTTACCTCTCTACGCCTTACAGATGAATTATTTTCTACACGTGCCAAGATGCGAAAAAGGCTGGAAAGCTTTAAGCAGCCGCAGAGGTCTGGGGTGAAAGAAGGTGAGAGAGGAGTTTAGCTGAGAAGAAATATTCCAGTAGAATAGAGCCCTGGGAATTAGAAGAGCAAAGTGCCAGTGGTTGGGGGGGCATTTGTCCTTGTAAAGATGATTTCCCCCTCCTGTGTTGGTGGGAGAGTGAATAGAAGTTAGCCTGCAGCAAGAACAAATATACCCCAAGGTCTAGGTCACTGCTTTGTGGCTGACAATCATCTGATCTGCCCTTGAGCACAAATGGAAAGTCTGGACCCAGAACTGCAGCTGATGCTGATGCTGAGACCGCTGAGGCTTGATGGGGATAAATGGACACAGCCTAAGAGGGTGCTGGCTCCTGAGGTTGGCGGCGGCCCCAGGTTCCGGCTGTCTGGACAGAGGGCTTAGACTGCCCTCACCTGACCTGGCCAGAGGAGCAACCTGCTTCCCCCACACAAAGGCTGCCAGCCACTGGGAGGTGAGTGTGTCTGTGAAGAGGTGCTTTGGGCTGGGATGAAGAGGAGGATAACGACTTTGAGGGGTCGAGGTCTTGCCTGTCCACCTGTCATTGTGTTTGGGAAGCAGCTGGCAAGTGAATTCTCCAGCAGGAATCTGTCGGGCCAGAAGAAAGCCAAGCGGGTTACAGAATTACAAATCTGTCTTCAGGCCTCTGACTGCTGGAAGGTTGTGTGGCAGCCCTGGGTGAAGCTGAGGTAGGGCAGGGGAGGCACTGTCAGGGTGGGAGGGAAAGGTGCCTTCACAGCTTCCACATCACCCTGGGAGGTGATGTTATTATACCCACTTCCATAGATCAGAGAAATTGAATATATAGCCTAAGCCTACAGAACAAGTGGCAGAACTGAAATTTGACCCCAGAGCTCTGGCTCCAAAGCCTAGGCTCACTCCACTCTGCTGTGCAGCCATTGAGGAGCCCCAGGGGAAATCAGCTTTGCACCTGGCAGCCTTTCCAGTCCCATTGGGTATGAAGCCAACAGGGGCCAGCCCTCCCATGAGCACCGGATGGAGCTGCAGTCACAGAGAAATCTCATTATGCCAGAGATTGTCAGAAAACCTCCCAGGAGCCCGTTCCTGAGCCCAGGTGGCAGCCTACCGACCTTAAATGGCAAAGCCAGCTGGTCCTCACTGTCTAGGCTGTAGCTTCTCTAGTGAGGGGGCATTTTTGTCCAGGCCTCCCTCTGAACTCAATTCTCAGTTCATGGGGAGATACAGTGTCCTTGCAGGATGGCTGTTGCCAACTGCCTGGTCTCCTGCCGACAGGGATACCAACAGAGGCACAGGCAGGACAGTGCACACCTGGAGCCTTGCTCCTCTACATCCTGGGGCCAGGGTGGTCAGTACCTGTCAGCTGAGGCTGCAAGGTGAAGCTGGCAGAGATGACCTGGGCAGATGGCTCCTGGGGCCCAAGGCCAGGGTGGCTGTATAGGAGACACAAGGCAGCAGAAGCTGAAGGGAAAATAGACCCTTGGGTGTGGGGGCTGTGGAGAAGGAGTGGGCCCTCACCCCATGGAATAGGTCCCCTTTGCTGACATCTCATTAGCTTGTCACTGCCCCATTCATGCCAAGAAACTAGTTCCCCTGAATTTATCAGCCCCCAGCAGGTTTTGGG